ATCGGGCGGCAGGTATCGCCTATCGACGCGCCGCGCTGTTTCGCCGTGTCGAATCCGGCGCGCTAAGTTTCTGAAACGATAATGACGCGGAACCGGTTTTTTTTTCCGCTTGATCGCGAACCGGAGGCGAGCGAGAAAGGAGGTGGGCACCGGGGGCGAGAAGGCTACAGGGCTATAATGGAGGACGACACGCGGCGCTTTATTTCTCTCCGCTCCCGACCGAACTGGCCGCGATTAAAGGGCGGTGATATTTTCACGGAGACGCCCGTTAACATCAATACCACCGGTGTACCGTTAATGAACCAATAATTAGTCGGCGAGTAATGAAGTCCGCTGTCTGACAGCGGATTAACTGGTGTGCCACCGCGGGGAGAAATCTCGTCAACTCCGGTAGCTGAATCCTTTCGCGAGCGTATCGACGATTCCCTCTCGTGCGCGAGACACATTATGCTTATGAGGTGCCCCCTGTGCGTGACTCATTTCCGTAAAAGCCACCACCTCGGGCGCGGGTACGCGAGCTCTGTACGATTGACCGCGGTACGTCTTACATTTGTCTACATTGCTGTAGACATTAATTATGTCGACTTGTTCTTCGCTTTATTACATTTCTGTTCTGAATCTACATAATAATTATTATAATATCCAATTTTAACGACCCACACTGGTAAAGAAAATAAGGAATACGGTAACGACGGAGCGTGAATCCTTTCGAAATCTATGAAATTAAACTCCTAATGTTTGACGTTGCAGAACAATGGTAATAAAACCACGATGCTAGAACTCGATCCTAGTTCTAGTTCCGGCTTTTATGGAATAGCTGCACGTCGATTGGCTACACATTTCTCGAAACTAGAACCTGGACCAAGTTCTGGATCACCATTGTTCCCGCAAACGTGAAACATTAGGAGCTTAATTTCATTGATTTCGAAAGAATTGACGCTCCGTCGTTACCGTATTCCTTTACGACGCCTGCCACACGCTTTTCTTGTCGCGTCTCTCTCTCTTCTCGTAGACGTATCTGGTATGCCAAGAGGGCTTTTGGCGTATGAAAGAGCTCGTGTGCACGCCCAGGCGCATCTCACTCGAGAAAGAGAGTCCAAGAGAGCCCATGCCTATTCATACGTCCGCGCGTCATAATGCGTTGCCCGCGCGTGTGGGTGAGAACTCGCGTAGAAATATTTCGTTCGGCGCTTCCTGCTCGTTTAATCAATGACATCTTTGAGCGTCAAGATGCGCGTCGAGCGTGCGCAATGTGCGCGCGAGGATACGTCGGCGCGACGCGCCCCGCGCGAAAAACCGCGCGGACCCCGAGATCCAGAGCGTGGCGGGGGCTCCGCGGAGGAAAAAAGAATGCGGCGCGCCCCGTTCATTCGATTATTATTTATCGACTTCGAAACCGTGCAGTGTGCTCTCGCGCGTCCTTCGCGATCGTTAACCGCGATAAATTGCGACGACTACGTTTCGGGGATACGCAATTTTCGAATTATAAATCATCGAAGCACGACGCCGGATAATAATTCGACCCCGTTACTGCAGAAGTTTGTTTCAAGTTCAACATAAATCACAATGAATTTCAATTTATGACATCCAGAGGCTATAGACACACTGTATCAAAAGTATCTTGTTACGTAAGAAGCATCGACACACAATCCGATCTCGGCTCATAAACGATTAAGTATAATCCAACATTATCGCCGGTGCCCGCTAGTAAATCACCGAGTAAGTTTGTTGTTAATTAAATGGGATTAAGACTAATCATTTCTTACGTTATTGCCTATATTAAACTTGTTTAATTGTCGTATATGCCGCGCGCCAATCTTTGTAAACTTTATGGGTATCCTTTTAATGACACTCGCATTTATATTTCAATTTATTTGCCATAGAAATCGTTCGCGAAAAAGTCATCGATGAGTAAAATGGCACAATCTCGGTGCACGACACGTTGATGCGTTATTGTCAAATGAATGCTGTCGTTTTAGCGTTTTGTTACAATTTTTTTATTTCTTTACCAAGCAGACGCGCAATTGATCGGACACCTAGCCGTAAGTTTTCTTCCACGTTACGACTTTCACCAATATTCGTGGCGTAATTGCGTTGCGGCGCATCGCGCGCGCACGAACGTCCGAAGGCATGTTTATTGCACGCTATATTCGCGCACTACGCGTAATATCTCAGCGCGCGAACGACGCGTATAATCAATGACATCTTTACGAGGGGCGCGATAAGCCCGCGAATTCCGTGAGTGGCGACACGAAAGGAGAAAGGGCAGTAGCTGGAAGGAAAGTAACGAAGAGGTGTCGAGGAAGAAGATTGCAGTTACTGACGGATCGAAAGAGAAGGCCACTACTCCCGTCGTAGTTTGTAGCAAAATCAATATTTTATTACTTTATTATTATTAGATCACCGTGGGCTTAATAGTTTTTTTCAACAATTTTGCACAATATTTTAGCTTGGTGCGTGTACGGCACGAGAATTAAATTCGCCGTGTATTTCAAAGAGCGTGGTCTTTTCGGAGACATTTTTACAAGCGAGCGGTGCAAAGGAGCAACGCAAAGTAAACGTTTAATAAACAAGCGTAATATTTTTTTTAGTAATTTGCCGTGAGGCTCCTAATATTACGGTATTAATCTAAAGTTTCGGAAGATTTAATTAATTATCGGATAAAACTTTCGCGATAAAAACTAATTCCTTTATTTTGTCTGTTAACAAAACTCCGCAAAGACTTTTTTTTACCTTGTACAAGTCTCGTATTATGATTACGGATTTTCTGGGGCTTTTATTTTTGCGGAGCCGGTCCGCTGGTAAACCGGTAGGTCCGTCCCTGGTAGGCAGAGGCGCAAAGTCGAAGAGACAACAGGGAGTGTCCGCTGCTGCATGATAAATCCGCCGCGGCTTAATTCGCATCAGCTGTAACATCGTCCGGAATTCTTTCCCGCGACTGATGCGCTCGAGCGCTCTCGGCTCCCCTTCGTCCGTCTTTCTTTCCTCGTCCGGCCCCACGCCTCCTTCTCGCTGCGCTTCTTCTTACCGCTGCACTTCGCCTTTATGGGACTCGGCATCAACGGACCGCGATGATGTCACGGGGCGTGTCTCGCACCGTGAAACGTGCGCGGAATTCTTTTCGCCGGCGAGAGCATTCGTAGATGCGAGAAACGCGAGCGGCAGATGCGTCCTCGCGAGGAGCGCTCGTTACGTTCTCGCTTTTCGGGTAATTTCGAGTGATTAAACGGTACGATAATTTGCACTCTAGACCGTTTATTATCGTTCTTGAGACTTTCGCGAGGCACGGGGCATTTTACCGCGGCATCTTTTTGTTCGAATGGAATGACTGTTCGAATTTGCGTTTTTACTACGGCTGAAATATGTGCCGTAACAAATACGCATTGTATCTCCTAACAATTTGGCGAATACGTAGAAATAATTTAAAATAGACGTTGCCAAGTTCATTGCTCGGAAAGTGAATATTTTCAAACATAGGTAAGCTTTAAGTAATAAAAGAAGGGACACAGAGCCTGAACAAGAGATAACTTTGGCCACGCGAGATAATACATCCACTGTTTGGGTCAATCCGATTGTAACATAGTACAACTAGTAGAGGGAAGTTCTCTATTATGAGATAGCAGGTTTTCAACATGAAAGTTTGATCACAAATCTTTATTCACAACAATTGCACGATCTAACAATGAATTTTCCGCTAAACAGATTTCACTCCAAGGGCAATAAGTTTATGATGAAACCAATAGATGATGCCTATTAATTTAGAAAAATCCCTTCTATCTCGTATTAGGAGTTTATCTCGTAATAGGTGACTTTCCTCTATGCTCACTCTGTCATTTCGTCTTGCGTCGATCCCTTCTGCGCTTCCGACATTGGTCCAGCTAATGAGAGAAAAGTCGTATGTGTGGTAGTGTATCATAGCACGTACACACACATACGCCGCTTTAGCCGATTAAATTTATCCGATGAAATGCAGTTACCAATGACATTTGATCGAAAAACCGATCATATTTTTCATCGGATCTACAATTAAATCGGATATATCCGCTTGTTATTATGTAATTGGGTTATCCGATTATATTTAATCGGATATTTTGCTCAGTGCACGTGATCGGGACCGAAAAGATCAAAGGACCAACAGAGAGTGAATTAATTATACTATTATTGTAACATGATGTGCACTCTAAAATGAAGGATATTTTTCCAACTGGATTGCTTACGAGAATCAATCAGGACTTAGCTTTATGTCACCTGATATAAAACTCTGCATCCTTATTGGCACTCGTAAGCAATCCAGTAGGAAAAATAGTATCGTATGCCGTTGGCTTAAATCCCGAATGGCTGTCGTAAGCAATCCAGTATGAAAAAAAGCATCGTGCCGTTAAGGCGAGTCCACCGTGTGATCGACGACCACCATAGAAGATTACACGGTCGTGCCAATTGAATTCGATTACATCTGACGTCGGATTCCTGATTTCCTGAAATGTTATCGCGTAGAAACAAGACGAGGGAGATCGAGAGCAAATTAAAAACGAGATGGGAGACAACGCACTACACGCTCGGCCGAGACGACAACGGGTAGCGGGAAGCGATCCGAACAGAAGTATTGTGAACGATTCGATCGTGATGGAAATCTTAAGTCGCAGTGTCTCTAATTAACGCTACTCCACGGGTGATTTTCTCTTTTTCCGCTTATTCAGTCCGTTCGTATTCGCGACTAACGAGGTCGGCCGTTGCCAAATAAAGGTCCCCGGTCTCTTTTGCTATCATAAACCATTCCCCGTCCTCCTCCGCCGCCAAATTAAGCTGTCGAAATCCCATCGTCTTCCGGCCGATTGACGGTTTCGGTATTCTCGTCGGGGACAGGTGGGCGCGAGTCGTCAGAATTATGGAGTTCGCATTGCAGCTTCTTAATTAGAGCGGTAATTTGGCGAGCCGCGCGCACATCTCGTTACGCGGAGCGATCCCTTTTTCTCCCCATCGTGTGCACGCGATAATCGTGAATGACGAAATTGTTGTTACCGTCGCAACTACGCGGAAGCTCGTTGGAGCTCGGACGCGGGCAAAAAGTATATGGGGACGTGAATAAAGCGAAAAATATATGGGCACACGTGAAAGGGGACGCTCTACCTTTCGGTAGAGATTGTCCACGAGTAAACAGGTATAATGTCGCGCTCGCCAAAGGTCGGTGTACCCGGTGCGCGCGGCCGGTTAATTTGGCCAGCCTCCGATTAGCCGCCGGGCGTACGGAGCGGAGAGTGGATTTATCCGCGCGCAATCGCGAGACGATAATAAACTGGCCGGGAAGACTGTTCCGCGAGAGACACATATTCATCTTGTGATATATGAGAACCGCGCGTATACGCGGTTGAGAACAGCCGAGAGGTCCAGCTCCGAATTCGCGTTGACGGACTTCGGGCGCGGAGACGGCGAAGAAATGACTTTCTTGTAAAAAAAATGATGTCTTATTCGAAGACGAGAGATGAAACATCGAGACGTTACGGTATACACCTCCTGGATTTTAAACGTTTCGTCGGACTTCGGTCCATTCGACGCTGCAGATGCTTCGAGGCGTTCTTCTTCTTCTTTCTCTGAAAGGAAGGAGAAGAATGCTTCGAAGCATTCGTGGTATCAAGTGGACCGCCAGCTCTCATCTACCGACGCACGAATCGCTCGGGATGTTGCGTTCGCGGGTTTACTGGGCGCAAAATCGCGCGGTTCGTTCGCGGCTCGGCTCGATACAAGCGTAACGGGCTAATTGTCGTTTCTTCGGCGAGCCGCAAAATCGCGCGATGCGTGACGCGCGGAAAACGGAACGAACAAAAACGGCGTCGCGGCGTGGCGGCGCGGAATGATCCCCCGATTAAAAAATCGCCCTATAAACACCCAATCCCCGGATAATGTCTACATTGACCTAATCTCACGCGCGCGAGGGGCGCGCCGCGCCGCTCGCAATAAAAAGAAACCGTGTATAATACGTAATGGGCCTATCTCGGTAATAACGCCGCAGTTACTTCGGTCACGGTAGATCTTGCCGATAATTTCAAAGACACAGCCGCGGACTGCCCGTGTGTACATACTCCGCGATCCCGCGAGGAGGCGCGAGGGATTCGAGGCACCACCTCGGGCAAGGAAAACGCTAGCATTTAGAATAATCCTTTCGTAACGTCATACTTTGATGCATAAGCTGCGCCACTGCGCGTTACAGAAACGACGTAATTAACGTCGCTGTCCGCCAGGAATTTATTACTCCGATCTAATGGGGCGCGAGAGCGTGCACGCACCGGAAAGAGATTAACGTCGTCGTTGATCTGATTCGTTGAAAGACACGTCCGACAAGGTGCGACGAAACGGAGAGTGCGGGATAATTTGCCAAAAGGAACGAGAGTGATAAGAGGCGGAAGTGTGTGTGGAAAAGCTGTGGACGCCGGTGGACGTTGACTAATCGGTTATTACTGAAAATATAACACGATCGTAGAAATCCAAAGAGCAGTGATTCAGGAACGAATTGGACAGTCTTTTTCTTAACGTGACGTATAAATCTTGTCTGATTGGCTAAATGCCGCATTTCCCTAAGCACGCTCGATCGAACGGATTCCTTTACGATCCGAGCATTATCATTTTTATGTCATTATCCAATCTCTTCCGCCTCTCTCTTTCTCTCCATTATTCCGTCTTTTTTTTCGCCTCCTGTGCCATTTACTGCCCTCGCCGGAAAATTCCGCGAAAGCGTCGATACGAAACTAGAGGACCAGTGCATCGCGATGCCGCGCGGTCGTCGATCGCGGGCCACTTTTATTCCGAAACATTTGTAGTAATTAAATTAATTCCGCCGGGACTCGCCTGGTCTCGCGGATTGCCCAACGAGTGATTGATGAACGTTACACTCTCATTACCGGCCGCTACTGTGAGAACATTCGTAATACATAGGTACGAGTCCGTCCATATTACGCACGTGTGTGCGTATTTAGACGTAAACGCGCGTGCGTATGTATAAACCGTACGTACGTCTCTCGCGGTGCGCAGACTGGAATCATTAAGAACAGTTTACCCGGTCTTTCATTAGTCATCGACGATTTAATGCGTCGTTTGATTTCATCCATCGGGGGGCCTGCCGATCGCGTTCGCTTGGTCCTTTTTCGCTCCTCGCCTCGACGGGCCACGTCCGGGCTCTGCCCTTCCGCGCCGAGCGACAGCCGGCCGCGCATTCCCTCTCGTTAAAGTTTATTAGTTTATAATTATTTATTGCCCGACGGACGTCGCGATTTACGACGGATTATTGCCGCGTGCGTATATTAGATTTAATTAGAGTCGCCGTGTCGTAAAGGCGACCGGGGCCGCCGCCGCTTCGTGCGTTTCCAGCCTGCGTGACACGCATAGCCGTAAGCCGCGGGCTTTTACTGCCCGCCCGAAAAGTACGCTCCACGTCGCCGCTCATCTCGCGGCTCATGAATAACAAGCGCACGTATCGCGCTTTCCAGAAACCAGAACTCCGCGCGATGGGACGGGGCGAAACCGTGTTTCGCGTGCCGAGTACCTGCCTCGTCGGAATCGACAGAATTCGCGATTTCGGTGCGCGCCTCGCTCGTGAGAAGATGAAGCGACCGATATGCGCTGCGTATTTGCTGCCGGGCGTACATTTTATTTCGCCATTTGCAACGCGATACATTTCGTTAAGCGCTGCTCGCCGGCGGCGTTTCGTAATATTAAGACATTTAAACGCGCAACCGAGGATCACGCCCGGAAACTTTGGAATGTCTTCACACGCGTTTGATCTTTTAACTACAAAATACGCGATACACGAAAAATATACGAGGAAGAGCGAGAGAGAAACGTTAGCTATTAAAAAAATTTTCTCGTTAGTTGATTCGGCTAAACTTTGAGTGAAATCATGTTAAAGTTTTTTTTTTAGTTGTACATTATTCTATCCCACAAGTCTCATCATTTCGAGTAGCCATTTTTTGAAGCGCGCTCCCAATATGGTCTATTTATAATATTAAATTAATTGTTAATAATAATTGTTAACATTGCGTTTTCACGTTTAATTGTAATACCGCATCATTCGATTCTCTGATTCATACTCTCTAACGTGGTACCATTGCGACAAATATTACCACATACCTCAGTGGTGGAATTGGTGAGACGTCCACCTAGAAAGAAGGAAAGTCCAGGTTCGAGCCTTGGCTGAGGTAATATTTTTCGCAATAAATTTTCTGTATTAAAACACTGGCCGGTTAATGTCGACTAAAAAGCCCAATTATTGTTACACAATATTTGCTTTGTATTCCAATTTTGCAATACGCTTCCGCGAGAATGGATTGCAAAGCCTTCCGTTCTCCAATATTTTCTCATTGGTTGCACAGCTTTACAGTGATTTGAATAGCTCTGCTAAAAGCACGGCGGTAAACTCCGTTATAAATTATTGCGGGTAGCGCAGCGGAGAGTCGTTTTGCGCGCGCGCGCGGATGTGTTACGTGTAATTTGTTAATCGCGCCGTGGTGTTACAGTTACACTCACCGCCAGTGTAACCGCCGGCCGGTCGAAGTTGCGCTATTAGCGTCGTATCGTGTTTCACGACACGAACCATTTGTTTGATCCTATGACGGGTATACGGCGCGGACAGAAGAGAGGCCGGAGCTTTTCATTGTCGATGTGTGCACGAGCATTCCCACGTTTCATCGAGAGGTTGTTGTCGGGGAAACAATCGCGCCCGCGAAACCGGCCGCCGTGCTGTAAATCCGATCTTCTGCACGATTGTTTCGGAAATCCGATATCGACGTGGACGCAGCGATCGATCACGGCCGCTACAAAACGATCCTCTTTTGATACAATTAGGCGTCGCGTTGCATCACGTTGCAGGACGAATATTTAGTTATTGTTGGTGACAGCTGGGGGGGGGGAGGGAGAACTGCATTGTATGCAATAATTGCGTTATTTTTCGCGACAGGGAAGCTGAACAAACATAACGCTTTTTGCTAACGGTTTTATGCAATCGATGCAATTGGTTACCTACTTTTTCTTCCTTGCCTTTTTTTACTTTATCCTCATTACTTTGTGTCTTCTTCATTTATATTTTATGAGATTTCGAGAGAGATCAATTTGTATACCGCTCTTGATTTTTATTTATTTTCTATGATATTTTATGCAATTTATTTTGCACAAATATATTGAATTAGGCGTCGTGTATTAATTTAGATTTAATCTTTAATAAATACCGCATACAAATTGACGCAAGTCCTGTCGATGACGTTTTCTTCCACGGCGCCGCATTGCACATCCGCGCTCCATCGACAGTTATTTAATAACAGTCGAAGGCGCCGTTTCTGCTCGATCGTCTCGTTTTCGATACCAATGACGTTCGCGTCCAATTTGATTGCGATCTATGAGAATTGGTTCCTTCGCGTGATTGACTATTAATTCCGTCGGTCATTAGACGATCGGAGGTGTGTCACAGGGAAATTAGATAGCGCGGGGTATACAAGCGGCCGACAGGCTCAGGCCGAGTCGAATCTCTCGTGGGAACTGGTCGTGATTAGTCCACGTCACTACCGACGCTAGTTATGCTAATTGCGCTTAAGCACTTTGGCCTGCTATCAGCATCGGCTATTGAAACCGTTGCTGAGTAAGTCACGTACAGAGGCTTTGGACCCTTTGTCCGTTCGTTTCGCCGATCGATATCGCGGCTTTCGAAAAATTATTATTTACGGGTCATGGGGGGGGGGGGGAGGGCATTAACTCGACAATCTCGGCTACGACAATCGGCGATGTTGCGTGGGTGAAATTGCGGCATCTGAGTCTCGTCAGATCGAGTCCCTCCCCTCCCCCTCGCCCCTCCGCAGCTGGCGCGGGGTACATCCGCAAAATTGCCACGTTGTGTAAACGGCGCATTATACTAATATTCATTTACACCAGCGCCGCAACGCCTCGGAATACACGTGAATTAACTCGGAACGGTGTAATATAAAGTCTCGAGATTGCCTGGCACCTTTTCTCAATATCTGGAAGGAAGAGAGGGACACCTACGCGAACACGAGTCGCGCCGGAGATCCTTTGAGATCTCCGTTGACCCCGCGCACGCAATCGCGCGTTGCGGTACACACCTTTACATCAAATATTATAACAACTTCGCGGGGAACTCCTACGGTCTGGCATTCGAAAATTATTCGCACACAATGCCTTCGCGTTGCACAATAGTTTGATGAATAAACTATTCACGTTATCGCGTTATTCGTAAAGTTTATTAGATTATTGGGAGCCGTCTCTATTCGGTCTCGCTGAGGATGACCCGAAAATGGGTCAAAACGTTTGATTAAATTACAAATTTGATAAAAACTTCCATATTGGACACTTTCGCACGATCACCTGCGTTTGGCGCGCATTGGCGCCTTCTTCCCCCACCAATTTATGAGATTTCCTCGTACTGCGCTAGTGAGTTTAGTTAAGGTAAATAATTGAAACGACACGGGACACACGTAAGTTTCATTTCAATGAAACGTTTATTAACTCGGCGACGCGCTGCTCTTTCACATTTCACGAAAGCAAATTTCTCTTTTTGCGGCTCGCAGACATTCCTGCACACCTGAGAGGCACCTGATAGATCTCGAGTGCTACGCCCAGTGGGTAGAAACGCTTCTGTTAATGGTAGTTAACCGGCCACTGACGGGCGCGTTTCCTTCTGTTGCAGGCGGCGGGACCGCCGGTGCAGCTGGAACCAGTGGACCTGTCCGTGAAAACTCCCGTGGTGTTGCAGGTGCCACGGTACAGTCCGGCGGCGATAATTAACGCCGTCGCAAGAAGAGTACCGTCGCCCTCGACGACGCCCACGCCGCCGCCGCCGCCGCTCTGCGTATCAACCGGTGAGTAGACTGAATTTATGTGCGGCCGGCCAACGTACACGGCTGGAATTTAAATCGAATCTTGCGACAGTAACACGATCCGCGGTACAGGCGCCCGCGGGCACAGCTCGAAAGAATGCATTTGCACTTGTTCACGGACCTTTGCGGGCGCTCGCACGGACGACTCAGACCTCGTGTTCGCGGCTACGCGCCGCCGCGATCGCCCGTTTCCGCGATATGTGTAGGATGCGTCAGAGCGATCGTAGGCGATGAAATTCCTGTTCTTTGACGAGCCCGGAGTCGGTTTCACCGCCTGATCGCCGGTCCCGTCAAGATTCCGCGATGCCCGTGCCAGAATGATAGAGGGATTTTGGTGTCGCTCGAGTCGCTTCCTACTCACTTCCTACCCGATCGCGGTCCGCTCCCGGCGGAACGTATCCGATATTTTCTGATTAACGTTGACGATTCATTTCCGCGTGCGAAGGCGCGCGTAAGGGACGCGTTAAAAATTCCACGGACCGTCCGCGAGACAGCGGAATTCTACGTTATGAACCGCACGCGAGCGAAACTACCCATCAGCTTGTCGCTTCGCCCGACTGTGCACGCGTATGCGCGCGTGGACACGCACACGCCCGTTGTCTGGCTTAAGCCGCGTTTGCACGATTTACTTTCAACGAGCACGCGGCGCGAATACAAAACTAGCTTCCGCTTATCGTTAGAAATTGGACTACGCACTCCGATCCACGGCAATTTCGTGGAGCCCATCGATTTCTCTCAGCCAAGAAGACACGAGACCAGGAGACCGTTAACTCCTGGCATGTGTTAACTTTGCACACCAACTTTAAAATTTTGTAGTTCTGACTGGAGTTCCTGCTTCTTTTTGAAGAGTTTAAGAGTTCCCAATACTTTATAAAAAGAGTTCTGCTGATTAACGATCAGAAATTAAAATTTCAAAAATCGGATGCCAACTTCTTATCGAAATTTGAGATCGAATAGTTCTGAATGGTCTAATAGCTTTATTTTGCGATTATCTAGAGTTCCTGATACATAAAAAATTTTTTCGGTTAATTAAAAAAATAATAAAAATCTTTGAAAATTTTATTTTCAGATACAATAGTTCTGACAAGTGATTTATATCGTTATTACGTTTATTTCGAAGAGTTCTCGCTGACTAAAAAAATTTTTAACCACAAATATAAAAAGTTACACACTTTAAATGACATTTGAGAAACTAGTAAAAAATGACGCGTATCTCTGAATTGAGTCACTTAAGCGCTGTGCGCCATAAGACTTTCCGTTAAAACTCGTCGGGAACTGCCTAGAACTCCAAGCAGAACTACTCGGAACTCTGAAAAATTTCTTAGAAATTTTTCGACCATCGTTCAAATATCTGATATTCTGCGAACCGTGTTTCTCGAGAGTCCCAAACCGGCTGGATCTAGATGAGCCGGATCCGTTCCTCGCTCTTCAGCCCGAAGCTAGAAACGCTCGGGGTCGGAAACGAACCGTATAATTTCGCCTTTACGTAGCCGCGCACAGGTGCGGCGCGCCGGCACTGCACAGGTGCATGTGCAGCACGCGTGCAGAAAACGCCGCGGAGTGGTGGCCTCGCCGCGCTCTCGCTTATGGATAAACCATAGAGAGATCCCCGGCGATTGCGCTGCTTTATGGGTTAATTATGTGGAATCTTTTTCTGCATACCGCACAGCGCGCGGACGAGCCCACCGTCGATCGACCTATTCTATGGAAAATCCAGGCGCGCAACAGGCAGCTCGTACGCCACGTATCAGCATGCGCGTACGTTTAAGGAGCGACCTGTAGATAATGCCTTGTTCTCACCACTGCGCGTGGTAGCAGTCGCTAATACCGGCGAATAAATTACGAATTTGTCCCGAGCGTTAGAACGTTCGTTCGCGCGACGCGGGTTTCATTATCCCTCGAAACGTTGGATCGTGCTTGGAATTAGTGGAGCTTAAACGGCATCTCGCGTCATTAAATAGCGACGTAATGTGAGTTAAATGTGTTCGTTGTTGTTGCGAAATTTCTCTCGGAATAGGTAAAATTCAGATTGTAAATTTGCCGTGGTAAATATTTTTTCACGTTAGAAATTTTCGACACTGTCAGTTTGAAAGTAGGAGTAAATTTTGTACTTGCAGTTCGACCTCTTTTACTGTCTTAGGTCCTACTGTATGATAGAATTATAGGTTCAACATAGGGTCAAAATTTCGACTCGGGTGATGCTTTCCTTTACGCCTGTCATCGAAACCGACTACACGCTATATATCGATTACCTTCTTATACGGGATGCAGAAATCGTCCTGTGAAAATATCGCACTTTCACTCGCTCGCAAGTAATAAAGTTCAAACAGAAAAGTAAAGTTGTTTACAAGGTTGGAGTGTATCGACAAGATTTTTATATAAGAAGCTGAAATGCGAAGTGAAAATTAAAGAATTGTGACGAATGAGGTGAAATTATGTGCGCAATAATTTACTTATTTTCCACCTAACTTTTTATTTGAATAAGTGCGGAAACGACTTCACTCGCAATTCTTTATTATAATAAATCACAACGTTTTGGCCTGTAATACTGGTCCTCTTGAGGTAACGAACTTACAAAGGTACTTACAAATGTCTGAAGAACAGAAAAACTACGTTTAACCAAATTAAGATGCTAGATCTTGCGTAACGGAAATTGAAATTAAGGTGTTTTTTAGGATCACTGACATTTCTCACATTATGCTGAGTTACAAAGTTCTGTCTAGTTGTCTTATCATTTCAATTATCATTTCTAATTATGCAATTGTCACCTCCAGTTTTTGGAAGAGCGTCTACTTTTTATGTTAGAAATTAAGTATTTTCTTTCGTCAAATTATCCCAAGTCTCAATTTTAACAAAGTATATCTGCGAAAAGAAAAAAAACACGTGTTCGGATATTCTGCGCGGGAAGTGAAGAGAACGATCGGCCGTGAACCTTAGCGAGAAATCACCCTGAATCGCACCCGAACGTAATTACGCGATACGAAATAATAACCCAAAGTGCGTAGACAGACGTTCGATTCGCCTTGAGATCTCAAGGCCGATGCGTTCACCGGCGATTCCCCAATTAAAAATCCAACCTGTAGCGGTATGTAGTCTCGTTGGCGGCTGCGTGCGGGGAGCTGCAGCGCGAGCGAAGGAAGAAGAGAAAAAAACGGAGAGGAGCCCGCTGAAATAGTCTTAAAACGCTGTAATCGCCTCGACAAGAAGGCGAACCGCGGGCAGGAGAGGACAAAAAAAAACCTCGCTTCGGCGTTCGCGCGTTTCAGCTCGCCCGAGCTTAATAGTTCAAACCGCGAACTCGCTCGCGCAGGTAACGTGCGCGCCCCGCCTCTTTTTTATCGGGTGTATAAAAAAAGGATCCTTTGAGGAAAGAAGCGATCGACGTGGCGAAAACGACGCGGCGAACGGGAAAGAAACGCGACGCGGCGCCGCGCGACTAGCGGCTAGTGTCCGTAGTTCTCGACGTTCACTTCCATTTCTGGATTAATGATCACGCACACCTGCGCAAGGTAGAATCCGAATACGATTGGGGTCGCAACCCGTAGTCCTCGCCTGCAGGCCTGCGTCGCCGTGTGCCGATCAGCGTGGTTAACCGTCGGCGCGTGTAGCTCGGTAGGGAATATACTTTTATCGCGCGTTTACGCATCTGGGGCCTCCTGGTATCGCGCTTTGCCCTCCGTGACCGCAGACTTCTATACAGGGTGTCCCAGGAGGAAAGGTCAATATTCTGGGAGGTGATAGTATCGGTCATTTTAAGCGAAAATGTTCATACGAACATACGTCCCATTCCCTGCTGTTTCCGAGATTCGATACATTAATTTTCATCGCAAGACAGTAACTGCCGAGGGGGAAGTCGCTGACCAAAATCTTGTACACCAATGCCCACTAATGTCCAGTGGGCATTACTTTATCTTATTATCTTATTTTATCTTTTTAATGCCTCAGCAAGGCCTAATGCCCAAAAAGTGCCTAGTAATGCCCAGCAATGCCGCAAATCTGTACACCACAATGCCCTCAGCGGTTTCCCCCTCGGTAACTGTACAGGTTACTCAAAAAGTAGCGTTTCGTAATAGCTGTAACTGTAACAAGATACTTTCATGAAGTAACTTTCCCAACCCTGAGTAGTATTTAGAAGTCTGTGGTCGTGACCGATACCCCGCGAAATCGTCTTCCCGGATTCCGTTGATTTACGCCGTTGGAAAGCCGGTCGGCCGCGCGTTAATCCTCTCCCGCCTAATGGGTTGTGCGTTCCGCGGGAGGGAAATAAACTGACGTACGTTTTGTGAAGCGCGCACGCTCGCGCGGATTACGTAAATTCGATTGCGGGACTTATGAAAAAAAAAAGCAACCGGCGTGAAAGCACCCGTGCGCGCGGGATATCTCCGAGACACGCTCGATACTCTCTCGTACATTAATAACGGACGCGGGGAAACGAGATTGCACGGAGGAGTTCGGCACTCCTAGCACGCAAATCTGTGAAATGATCTCTCGGCCGAGACGCACTTTCTTTCGGAGTCGTCCGGGGCAATTAATGGCCCCCGTTTTTATCACAAATCTAATATATTTTATTATAAGTGCCCCGCCTGTCGCGAGAAAAAAAATCAATTACCCACTTTTTGTACGAAAACGTCGGACGCGCGTGAAAGATTCGGTAACGCCCCGGGTCGTTATACACCCAGGAAAGAAGTTTCTTTCGGGTCAAATAAATTTTCTTTGAATTTTGACTAGACTTTTATTTAATTTCGACGAAATGATTTCTTTGCCTCAATTGATCGAGACTGGAATCTCCAAGGGCGAGTTTCACAAACGTTAACTGCTGGCCGAAGGTTAATTGATTCTCTATCTCTTCTTGGATAAGATAGGGAGTTGACTGAACTCTGGTTAACAGTTAACCGACGTTTGCGAAACTGGCCCTAAGAGAATTCATGTCTATTTCTTCAAAATCCAGCAAGTGTTTTGATAGAAGTAAATAAAAATTTAGT